CAAGTTGGTGTCTTGTTCCTGGGTGTGGCTAGCAGAGGCTTAGACTTCTGGGAAGAAGCTCCTTGCCAAGCACGTGGCCAAGGTAAGATGGAGCACTTACCCTGGGGCAAGATGGAGGGCGTAGCCCTTACCCTGGGGCAAAATGGAGGGCGTAGCCCTCGCCCTTTCAAATATGACTCCTTAATTCGACTTCTTGAGGTGTCCTTCTGTGATTCGCGGGGTATATTACAGCACTACAGGCCCAGTGTGCGAGAGATTCTTGCACTGGGGTGGGAGGTCCCTCAGCCCAAATTGTAAGAGGGCACAGGCCAAGCCGAGAGGTGCACAATTGGGGCCAGAGAGGAATCGGGAGGTTGGCCAGCTGGGGAGGGACCTGGGAGGGCTCCAGGGCCTGGCGGGCTTATCCCTGATTGGCTGGACCCCAGCAGCAAGCTATGCTACAGGTTGGAGCGTCTGCCCCCTGGTGGTCAGTGCACCTCATAGTGAGCGGTTGAGCGGCTTTAGCATATCATTAGCATATTAGGCTTTGATTGAACAGATGACCGGACACTTAGCTTATTAGGCTTTTATTATATGGGAAGCATATCAGGCTTTTATTACATAGGATAAGATGTACTAGACACCACTCTGGACGCTGAACACACAAACCTGTGCTGTAGGCTTTCCCAGAGACAAGGACAAGTGCTGTAGCAATCGTGCAGCACCATTAACAGACGCTCTTCTTAAATTGTTGAAGATTCTTTTGCGTTAGATGTACTGACTAATGACTTTTGCAGTGTTTGGGCTATCTTGTCATGTTCATATTCACATCTAGAAGCTAGTGGTTTCTTATGGTCAACAAATGTACAGTTGACCCTTGAACAACAAGGGTCTGAACTGCAAAAGCCCACTAATGAGATGGGTTTTTTTCCCCCTATCTGCATTTGAGAATCCCGATGGGAAGGTAGGATTGTAAGCGTTGATCCAGTTCGTTTTATACAGGGGATGTGAGCATCCTCAAATTTTGGTATCTGCAGGCAGGTGGGGAGAGGGGGTATTAAATGGTAAGTAAATTATTCCAAACCCCACTAAATAAATGTCATAATGAACTCTTTAGGTATTTGGAAAATATTTGTGCAGTCCACTCAGAGCAGTAAGTTCCTTGCCAGATAAAAAAAAGGAATTTTTACAAAATGGACCAGACCTTCAAGATTTTGTGTCTGGTGATCTTGCAGACAAGAGCACCTGGGATGAATATAAAGGAAACTTAAAGCGCCAGAAAGGAGAAAGGTAATTGAAATTTTGAGATCATTTTAATGTCCAATTCCTTCATCTTGCATTATTTTAAGATATAACCAAACCTTAGAGTATATTTTTAATCAGACTTGTTAAATTTAGCTTAAAATCATTAAAAGGAAGTGATAACAGACATAGAATAGGTAAGTAGTTGAAATGCTTTTCTCTGTGCTCTTTGATAATTTTCCTTCAACCTTTCTAGGATGAACCGTCCTGCACCTCCATCTCCTTTTTTCTATTCATCATCAAATTTCTTCAGAAAGTGAAGGTTATTACCTTACTACTAATCTATTAGACCTTGTTAAATTTTTCATTATAATTGGGTGTTTAGGATCTAACTTGTGCTTCTCGAAGTCTATGTACATATGACCTATGGATATCTTGACTTAATTTAAAAGAATGGTGAGGGGATTTCATGCAGAGGACAAATTGTTTTGCTGATACTTTACCCAACAACTTCTAATCCCAAGTGGGTGGAAGTCAAGAGGAACCTGAGGATACATAGTCTTCACTCCAAATTTCAGATTTTTCTCATTTAATAATCAACATAAAAATCGAGAATATAAAATACAGCAGAAAATCCTCCTTAATCTGAAAAAATATAGAATTTTTTCATTGGGAAATGAGATGTTCAAAACTTCCTCATTCTTTTTTATTAGGATGGTGTTAATTCTGTGCCGTTGCAAATGCTAGACATGAGTATAGTGCCTTGTTAGACACAAATATCAGGGTTTCCTAAAGTGTTTGAGCAAGCCTAAATTTGAATCTCTGTTCTTTCTTCTATGGCAAAAATTATAAGTTAATTCAGAATAATGGGGGGGGGGGGAACCTCTTAACCAGGAATTAATAGATCAACATATAATTATTAGATGAATTAATAGATCAAAGCTGTATGATTATTTGGGGATAAGTTTGTTAATGGATAGTTTTCCTTTTCCTCAGGTTAAGACTACCTCCATGGCTAAAGACAGAGATTCCCATGGGGAAAAATTACAATAAACTGAAAAATACTTTGCGGAATTTAAATCTCCATACAGTAAGTTATCAAAGTGTTAAATATTTCTCTTAACCAAAAGCTGTACATTTTCTACATGTGTAACTTAAAAGTTAATAAACTACATAGCAATAACAGTAAGGAAAGTGTTTAGGATACATTACTATTACTAATGGAAATAAATTTAAAAATTATTTTCCTTACAAAAGAAACAAAAAGGAATTGAAGCCCTAGCTGGTTTGGCTCAGTGGATAGAGCATCAGTCTGTGGACCAAAGGGTCCCGGATTCGATTCTAGTCAAGGGCATGTACCTCAGTTGCAGGCTCCTCCCCAGCCCGGGCCCTGGTCAGGCTCATGCAGGAGGCAACCAATCAATGTGTTGCTCTCACATCAATATTTCTCTTTGTCTTTCCCTCTCTCTTCCACTCTCCCTAAAAATCAATGGAAAACTATCCTCGGATGAGGATTAAGCAAAAAAAAAAGTAATTGAATTTCTTAGCTTCTCGTTTAATAGTAGGAAAAAAAAAGATTTTCCTGTATCTTAGGAAATGAGGGTTTGTTTGTTTTATATTACAATTTAAGAACATGCTTGTAGGAAAGAGTATAAAGATAAATGTGAAACCTCATATACATAATCCCAAATGTTAACTATACCACTTTGGTAACTGTTCAATATATATCCTTACAAACCTTTTCTTTGCACATATAAAATGTATACATTCATATAGTTTTTAACTTAATAAAGATACAGTTTGGCAACTTAACAGCATTTTTAAATAGTGAATTTCTTCATAAATATGTTGTAAAGATGTACAGGTAAAATGCCTAGTCACTCATTTGTTCAATTGGTAAATATTTTCAACCTGGTTGTATTCAGTTCCCTTTTGCTCACAGGTGTGTGAGGAAGCTCGCTGTCCAAATATTGGAGAGTGTTGGGGAGGTGGAGAATATGCTACTGCTACAGCCACAATCATGGTAAGGCCAGTCTCAAACTCTAAAGCTTTAGTCTAGAAATTGTAAGGAAATGTTTTATGTCTTTCTCCTAAAAATATGCATTATGTGCCTCTGATTAGATTTTTCAATTCACATGGATTTTTGCAAAATGCATTAAAAAAAAAAAACCTGACAAAACAAACCAGCCTGTTATGATCTCTCCCTTCTCTGAATAAATCTCTGAATATATTATTGATTTTTCCATCTGTCTGACAGTTAATCATGTGCTGTCTTGAGCTATATCTTCTATTAAGTTTTGGAAATGTTACTTATGGTGCTGAACTTCTTTTTCCCCCTAAACAACAAGAATTTATTTTTCTCATGGGCTTTTGGTTGGCTGGGGTTCCACTGACCTTGACTGAGCTAAGCTGAACTCCAGGAAGTAAGTTGGGTTCAGGTCTGCTCTACAGAGCTTTATTTACTTGGACCAGCAGCTCTTCAGGGCATATTCTTACGGAGAATGGAAGGAGTACAAGAGGGTAAGCCAACCACCTATGCACATTTGAGCTTTCTGCTTGGTCATGCCTGCTATCAGTCTATTGGTCAAATTAAGTCACATGGCCAAGCCAAACGTCAGTTGG